TGGTACGCACAGAATTCAGCATCATTCGAGGGATTATCAGCTTGGATCAGCGTCGATGTCTTGATGTATGTTCAATTAACCTGTGATTGGCGAGGTCCTCCTTCAACCAATCACAGACACACATAGTCCTTCTTGACTTTATATATAGACAACTTCGTTAGGCAATACGACGAGTAAGAGACAAGAGATCGAGGATTCTCCGACAGGTGAAGGGCAGGCTGAATTTAGGATTGGGTGAGGTGGGAGTAGGGTGCATAGCTAATAGTCTGTCATTTAGACGACATACTAAAAGGCGAAGTGCTCAAAAATACTAATAAAGGTGCGAAACATAGGATTGATTTTGGAATAATTATATGAACATCGGGAAACAATAAAAAATTGACTACGCATCTCAAGCATCTTCTTCTCCACCGGAGGCCTAGTTCCCTTTCCAACACAAGGAGATTTTTTTCGCGGTTTGTAGTGCATTGCCACCACATGCCCCATTATCTTGCGACAGTACCTTAAAATCAACTCCATTCCCTTCCCTTCCTTGAGAAGCATAGCCTCAATATTAGCTATAGCACGCGCTCTTCTGTCTAGACTCCACACCACTACTTAACACGTTCAAACATGTACACGTTTAGACCGCCAACGAGACTAGAACAAGCGCTTACGAAATTCCCCGTATATTGCGATAGGGCCTATATCCCCTACTTAACTTCAATAAGAACTACTACATTTCTATCCATTAGAAAACGCGAGCAACAATTATGGCCTTATGTGGAAAAAAATCTGTTTGACCACCATTCAAAAATCGGTATAAGAGACATTTTCATGACATGGTCAAAATGTTTTTGAGGTTTTTCTACTTGCATGGGTAGGGTGTAGTTTCGATCAAGGAAGTAGTTAAGGCTCGACAGAGGCTATCACAACAGTAAACACTTTATCCTTCAATGATCTGTTTAGCACTGACAGGGTGAGTCAAAGAGTCAGCTCCCATTGTAGTCCGTCACTCTTTGCCGCAAATTCACTCAGAGAAAGTGGATAAGAACTCACTGGCCGCACTAAAAGCGACTACTAAGGGATGCTGAGGGTTACCTTCTGCCTCACTGCTGCATCGCCATTTTATGTCTTATTAGCCTATTTTACTGCCCTCAACACCATAGCTGTACTATTTATGACCGCATCGCGTTAATGCGCTCTGATGTCTGGTTGGCATTAAGGCGGACATGGTTATGGCGCCTTGTTACCCGATGCGGACCGTTGGGTAACAAGTCCGAAAGTGAGACTTGATGATAGCTTTCTGTGTTGAATACGGTGAATTCGTGAAGCTCTGTCGTACTTTTTCTTCAATTCTATCCTCTCACTTGTTTTGACGTACTGCCATGACGCAGTCACTTAGGCTGGTGTCAGAGTCCGCGCTTCATCGCTCGATGTATCGCGGACTCTGACACTAGCCTTACTGATTTGTGTACCTCTGACTTTGTTGACGCTATTCTGTCCACGCTTCCTTCCGTTCGTCTGCTACCATACCACAGCAGTGCTGACATTATTTCGAAGCCTCACGCATGAATATCTGCTCTATTTCTTGTTCCTTTTTCTTTTTTTTCTCCTTCTCCTCTTGTTTCTGTTTGTTTTTCTATAGATTGTTTTTTCCCTGTTGGAATAGGATTCTCACATTAGGCAGTAACATTCTTTTCATACAGCTAGCCAGCTGATCCTTTCCATCGTTATTGGCGTTTGAAGAGTGCTCATCTTGACTCCCATCAGCGGCTGATGATTTTTACCCCCCCCCCTTGGTAGCCAACTCGACTTGATCCTCCTCATACATAGTTGGACCTGTGCTCTACGTTTTGCATAGTTACATTCTGTGTAACATATTCTTTAGTCGTTTTCTAACAATGTGCCGTCGCTTGCTCCCCCCCCCCTGACCCCCTTCCCTTAGAAGGGTCTCAATATGGCCCTTTAACACCACCATCGGCTTTTAGGAGGTTCCCTATATGTACTACCCTCCTCCTCCCATCACCCTCACCATCGAAGCTGTTTCTATAGTATTTGATGATCAAGTCGAAGAATGAAAGTACATATATCTAGTGGAAACATAAGCGGACTTCCCAAGGGTGAGGGCGACGTCTCGCGGCGAACGGTACGCCCCAGCGGCAGCAGGGCCATATCTGGCCACGCCTCGCCGTTGGATTCTGGACGAGGATACTGGCTGTTCACAGAGAGGCTGTGCAGATCGTGCTCATGTTTATGCCGTTAGCAACTTCACCTTATGTGGGATGGGCTGAAGAGTGGATCCTTTTCCCAGCTTCTAGGCCGTTTTTCTCGGTTTTTCCTTCACCGCTGTCTCACCTGCAACTTCCGGTATCATTTCCAGGTTGCCATTTTATCGTACTCCGCCTTGGAGGCTGGTCCATCAATGACGTCAGTGACGTCACCAAACCCGCACAGCTCCCCGACCATCGTGATCAATGCTTTAAGGTGGAAAAAAACCCCATGGTGGTAGTCGGTAACGCATTTGCTCTGAAAGCAAGTCGGGTTCGGTTCCCGAGTGGGTTTCACCCTCCCCCTCGATCTTCTCGTGATAAGTTTCAAATCGCGAACGGCGACGGAATACACTGCTCGACAAAACAGTTCAAAAACTCATTGTATAAAGTTTTTTTGCTTTTTTCTTGTTCATCAGAAACTTGACTATTGTACGATTGGGATTTACAATGGTTCTTATGAGACAAGCGTGGTACGAAATGCTTTACTCACCCAAAAAAAACCTCAATAATTTCTTTTAAAATATTGTAAGAGCAAACTAGTAATCTAGGGTATATTTTCAGGTAGTAGGCGGATATTCAAGCAGATTTTCTCCCCACTGAATATGCTGTATTTTTCTGTTATCTGAGAGCAAGATTCATCAATCGTTGAGTTTCATTGTTTTCAGGCTCGTATGCTGGTCAACCTGGTGTGCTGTGTGGCCGCCGTGCTTGGTATACCGGCCAATTTATTTGTGTTGATCGCTATCTTCTACTTCCGGTAAAGTTTCTCTAGTTTGTTTGTGATTGTTGTCCTAGCTGCGCTTGATTTTGCGGCAGCTTCGTTTTCTAAATTTGCTAGTGAACCTTCTATGGAACTTCTAGGTGTTTCTACAGGTCACGCAGCGACACGCGGCATGCTTGAGCTTTAAATGATTTGGAAAACTTTCCACTTTTTTGTATTCAGAGATATATGCGCGATGTACGCGGCTGACTGGTTCTCATACTGAGCGAAAGTCCAGAAGCATAAGGCGCGCGCTTTTTGGAAGCGTTGCACGCGGTAATGCCGCATGCGCGCGTCGCTCCGTGACCTATTGGTGTCCACCATTCTAACTGCATTTCGGAAGCTCATGAAACATGCGGTTCGAAAGTCACGTTAGAAGAGCCGTCAAAACATCTCCTTATCATGACATAAAAAATTACGTGAAATTTCTTTAAAACTTGCGGGTTCTGAGGATAGACAGGAAGTTCCCAGAAGAGGTACATTCGAATCACATGACGTAAGGGTCGGCATCACCAGTTTTCTCCAACTATCTGTGGCGACCGCATTTAGAAAGCGCTGATGGCAGGTCCCTGGACTTCTGTAGAGCGCTCAAGCCACTGGCTCCATGGAAAAAGTCAACGACGGCGCGGACGCGTTCGCGTGTTGATGACGTCACAACGGCGGCAAGGCAACGAGCAAGGGCCAGTTTTCCACGGTTTACGGACTACTTGATTTCTTCCTCAATGGTCCTGCCGCGATGGCTAGAGCACAGACGATTAGAGAACGGGTGAATGCCCTAGGACTAAGCCTTGGAGAGGAGAGGGACCCGCGAGAGAGCGCAGAGGAGGTTTAAAGGGCTGAGTTCAAGTAGTCCGTCGACCGCTTTTCCACCATTACTTCGATACGTTAAGTACTCCGAGCATCTATCGTGCTCTTACTTCACTGTGTGATAAGTAGAAGTAAGTTGGAATCGAACACGAAAACACTCAGCTCAAATTACTGACAAAGTACTCCTAAGGGTTTCCACATGAAAGCCCAATTCCTCTACATTTTCGAGAAATTTCAATTCCTAAGGCAAGGATGGTACCTGAACATAACACAATCATTTCTCTCGCGGCACAACTGATTGAACAAGTTGGTATAGTGCCAGAAGCCCAGCTTATTCAGCAAAGTGGCAGCGGCGCTGGCCACTGCTCGCCCTTCCTTCGAATCTGTCGCAGCTGCGACGTCATTTTGACGTCACCAACACGCGAACGCGTCCGCGCCGCCGGTGACTTTTCTCTCCCCCCCCCCAAGCCACGTAGCCACGTTTGATGATTTTCTTCGTCCGGTTGATGCGATGAGAAAAAGTCGATGTGGTGCAATATGAGAAAGCATAGTAATTTCAGTGTAATAAATTGAAATCAGGACTCATTTTGAATATCATCTGAACCAATATGTGAGAAATGGTATGATACTTCCTTTAATCTGC